CATCTCAACTTCAGAGACATCAGAGATTTGAAGAGAAGAAATATGGTTTCAGGATCACCAGAAATCGACATTCCAAATGAGGTATGTGAGGAATGTGTGCATGCGAAGCAACACATGAATAGCTTCTGCAAGGATGCAGGAAGCAGGTCGAAGGCTAGTCTTGAAGTCATATACTCTGATGTATATGGACCAATCTAGGTGGATTCAATGGGAGGTAACAAATACTTTGTTACATTCATAGATGATTTCAGTCAAAAGTTGTGGACTTATCTGATCAAGAAGAAAAGTGAAGTGATCTAAGTATTTTCCAAGTTTAAGTCTATGGTCGAAAGACAGAGTGGTCGAAAGCACAATATTTTGAGAACTGATGGTGGTGGAGAATATGTGTCAAAAGACTTCGTCAGGCTATGTGAAAAGGAAGGGATTGTGTATAAGGTGGTGCCACCCTATACTCCACAACAAAATGGAATTGCAGAAAGGAAGAATCGAACCATCATGAATATGGTGAGAAGTATGTTGAAAGGCAAGAATTTACCTAAAGAGTTTTGGGGTGAAGCTGTTTCGACTGCAACATACATTTTGAACAGATGTCTTACAAAGAAGCTAGAAGGAATTACTCCAGAAGAATGTTGGTCTGGTGTGAAGCCTATCTTAAGTCATCTTAAGGTATTTGGATCTATTGCACATAGACATGTGCCAGATCAGTTGAGAAGAAAACTTGATGACAAGTCAAGTCAAATGATTATAGTTGGATATCATTCGACAGGAGGCTACAAGTTGTTCGATCCAGTGAAAAAGCAGATTGTGATCAGCAGGGACGTGATTATAGATGAGTTTAAAGAATGGGATTGGACTGAAAATGTCAAGAAAGATTCAGTGGGAATCCTTCTTGAAGAGCTAGAAACTCAAGTCGAAAGAGAAGTCCGACAAGAGGAACCAGCAGATATACTAAGTACAAACAGGCCTCAAAGAACAAGACGCATGCCTGCAAGATTGCAAGATTGTGTGATTACATCAGATGATGTAATAGATAATGAAGATGAGCTGGTACATTATGCTTTCTATGCAGATGTCGAACCTGTTAATGCAGCTGAAGCATTAAAGGATTCAAAGTGGGTGAAAGCAATGAACGAAGAAGTAAAGTCTATCAAAGACAACAACACTTGGTTACTTGTCTAATTGCCTTAAGGCAAGAAGGCAATTGATGTCAAATGGGTATACAAAGTAAAAACGAATTCGAAAGGTGAAGTAACTCGACACAAAGCAAGGCTTGTGGCGAAAGGATTTCTACAGAAAGAAGGAATAGACTTCGATGAAGTTTTTGCACCTGTTGCTAGGATCAAAACAATCAGGTTGGTTGTTGGTCTAGCAGAAATAAACAGTTGGCACATATGTTAGATGGACGTGAAGTGTGCATTCCTAAATGTCTGATTTGGGTGAGATTTCATATTTCCTTGGCATCGAATTCTACAAGAGCAGTAGAGGTTTGATGATGCATCAAAGAAGATATGCAGGAGAAATTCTCAAGAGATTTGAGATGGAAGAGTGCAACCCAACTTCGACACCTGCAGAACCAAGACTGTAACAGTCGAAAGATGCAGATGAATATGATGTTGATCCAACCCAATACAGAAGACTTATTGGAACATTGAGATACCTTTATCATACAAGGCCTGACTTAGCATACAGTGTAGGTATGGTAAGTAGATTCATGCAGAAGCCAAAGGTATCACATCTAGCAGCAGTGAAGAGGATACTAAGGTATCTCAAAGGAAATTTCGATTATGGCATTTTGTTTTCTGTAGATGATAAAGGAAAAAAATGCAACTTAGTGGGATATACTGATTCAAGTTGGTGTAGTGATGCTGAAGATCGAAAGTCGACAACATGATATGTGTTTATGCTAGATGGTACACCAGTTGCTTGGAATTCAAGAAAGGAACCAATAGTGGCATTATCATCATGCAAAGCAGAATACATAGCTGCTTCTCTTTGTGCATGTCAAGCAACTTTGATGGTGAACTTGGTCGAAGAGATAACAGGGAAAGATCATGGAGTAATTACCATGAAGATCGACAATATGTCAGCTATCAATCTGGCGAAGAACCCAATAGCACATGGTCGAAGTAAGCACATCGAAATGAGGTTCCATTATCTTCGAGAGCAGGTAGCAGATAGGAAGATGAATTTGGAACACTGCAGAACTGAGAATCAGATTGCAGACATCATGACGAAGGGAGTGCAAGTCAAAGTATTCAGAAGACTAAGAGTCATGATGAACATATATAGTTTAGACACAATGAATTAGGTGGTGTGTTAAATTGTAATCTAGTGTGTCGAAACTATGTGTCGAAAATATTTGATTTGTTTTAGATTTAAGTAGATTTGATTTAAGTATAGAATAAATAGATTTGATTTAGTAACAAAAAGATATTTTGGGCTTTGGGCTTAGGGTGTAAGCTCAGTTATAAATAGAGGGAGTAACCCCTATTTTTATAAGCAAGTCAATTAAGTTGTATTCACAGAATTTGCAGTTGCAAGTGAATAACAAAGTTTTCCACAGTTTGTGAGCAGAGAGAAACTCTGCAGAAATAATTGTCTTGTCTTCTTTTCTTTGTTTTTCTCATAACTAATCGTCATTGTGGTAGAAATTCATAATAGTCTTTTGGTGGATTTCCAACAAGAATTTTGTTTATAAGTTTCCTATTATTCTTCAAGTGGAAAATGATCCTAAGACTTATAAGAAGGCAAAAGCTTCAAGGGGCTTCTCCTTTTGGAAGGATTCTATGTAAGATAAAATGGATTCAATAATTTCAAACCTCACTTGAGAGCTTGCCGATCTACCTAAAAGACCAATACCCATTAGAAATCATATGATTTGACCAATAATTCATTAGTCCGACCGATGATTCACTCGTTCGACTAGTAATTAAACAATTCAATAACTTAATCGGGTTGATGATCATACCAAATTTTAAAACATTGCTTAAATAATTTTTTACATGTCCAATAATCATTTGCATTACATAAAAGTCCACTACAACCCGACATACTAACTTTAGATATATTGTATAAGACCATTTATTCTTTACTAAATTATATATTTTGGACTTTGTACCTTCATGTTTTAATGTACAGTTTCCCCTGCTTCTTTTCATAATTATTTTGTAGCTACTCTTATTTTAGGAAACTAAAATAATAATAGCTTCAAATCTTGTATTATAAGAGAACCATATATACTGGTAGATCTTTTACATTATTTGTACTTCCACAAGAAGATATACTTGTCAAAATCATCATTGTAATATACATACAATTCTTTTTTTTTTATAGACGTATATAAATTTTTATATATGTTGAATTTGGTTAGTATACCCTCTTAAGAAATCAGCATTGAAATTTATTTATTTTTTCGTTAGGCCATTATTGAATTGTCATTTCCTTACTTTCCAAAGTTTTTGAATGAAAATGATATTGTTCAAAAGTAAAACCTAATGAAGGACCCATGTTCTCATGTATCCTAAAGTTGGTAAAAGGCTTGACCAAGATGGGGCCAATGCTGGCAGTACCTAAAACAAATTGACCTAAAAGAAAGACATGAATATGTATATGAGAAATTATAACTTAATTCAACCTCAACCATTATTTTAGGATCATGCTCCACAATAAATTAGATTCAATAATTTCCCTCTATTCCGTATTCAGAATTTTTGTGACCGTTCAATAAAAATCAGGCGATTCAAATCAATATTTACAATTGTAAATGCGAAGTCGTACAAAAATCAAGCGATCTAAAGTATAATTTTAAACCTAAATACTTATTATATCGATCTGCACATATATTTCAAATGCGCGAATGCGACTAAACTATAGATGATTTATAAACCTAATATATTTATTTTGTGTCTCTTATTGACACAAACTACAAAGAGAGAAAAGGAAAAGGGGTCCCAAAAGTAGGGTGAAGGGGTAAATAATTTGTATGAATAAGGGAAAGGCATTTAACTTTTGAATGTCCATTCGTAGACACAATCATTTTGAGGAAGAAGTCACCTAATTTAAGATCCTTTTTAGGCACTTAAATAATGTAGACCACTCTTCTTCCATATACTTATATACTATTTACAATGTCCTTTATCTAATAATTACCATTGACAGTTCCATATAACTGCTGACTCAGACCTTTCTGTCACTTTTGGGCCTGTACATTACAAATTTAATTAAGACCATATTCATTTTTATGGAAAGTGGGAATTTTTCTTGTCACTCTCAAATATCAGCAGTAAAATTCCAAAAAGTAAAACTTATGCCAATTTGTGTAAAATTTTATGAGAAAGAAGTGAAAATATTTCTACAACATTTAACTAAAATTTTCTTGTTAAAACTCATTTCCCTCTCTAAGGGAGTGCAATGCAAATTTCACGTCTGTTTTAAAATTTGACACAGTTAAATAATATAATAAAAATTAATAAAATATTTGTCATAATTAAATTTTACTAAAATAAAATTTCTATTGATTTTATCATTAATAAATTTTAATTAACTTAATTGCTTAAAAATAAGTAGAGATAGCAAAATAGATATAATTAGCCGCACATGACTATTTTGTCAATATTTTTTTTAAGAGATATTCAAATTTTTGTCCCTAAACTTAAGAATTTATGTAAAACATAAGATAAACTTTATTGTGCAACTTAATAGATATATGAAGCACATTTATTGTATGAGTTTTCAAACAAAATGAAAACCCTTACACAAAATTATATGCACCCTTGTTAGGAAAATCTTGCATAGTGGATACATATTGAAAAAGATAAAATTTTCTAACCTTATCATTTTAATAGGTAGGTCTACCACGTGTAGGTGATTGATGGTAAGTGTAACAATGTGATGTTAGGCAGACTCAACATATGGTTAAAAACACATCAAAATATCCCTATAATTTAAGTGAAATGAAATAATTTTGAAGCAATTATTTTTGTTCAAAAATTGAGGTGAGTATGTCACTGTCTCTGCACCCATCAAAACATTGGGGTTATAATATTCCCTTATGGGCTCAGGTTGTAGTCTATCCCATTTTGTTTGTCCTTGCCCTACTATATCAAGGAAATAGCTACAAAACTACACTTCCAAATAAAGAGAGGGATACAAAACTAGGAAATGAGGCATTAAAATTGCAGCCACTTCACTTGGATGATAATTTATTGCATCTAATCTTTGCACTAGCTAGTAGGTACAATTTAAATTTTCAACTTGCATTTTTTTTCTTTCAAAACTCAATGTTTTGTAAAAAATATTAGATAATTGATAAAAAGGTTTATATAACAAGAGGTTTGATATACAAGAAAACAATTCTTTCAAAAGTTTTAAGTTTAAATCACATATTACGTGCTAATAATTCTTATGTTAAACTAATTATATAAAATATTCGGTTAATTCAAAGTCCGTGTTGAGAAGTCATAACCCTGATTAAATATTGTTTCTATATGATATCGAACTCGATATTCTTTTCTTTAAACCTTCGTTCTTAACAAAAGCTCGTTTACACTTGAGCCCAAATACTTCATTGCTATAAAAAAAATATAGTTAAACAGTTTTTAACTAAATTTAATTTTTATCACCATAAAACTCCAAAATTATTAGAATTTTTATGAGAATCAAAACATGATCCTCAAAATTATTTAATAAAATTAGGTAACTTTAATGCTCTTAAACTCTAGGAGAGAGATGGTTTTAGCTCTGTAGGACACATAATAGTGCCAAATAAAGCTAGCATATGAGATTTATTTTACTTATATAAAAGAAGAAAACAAATCAACAAGATAGAGAAAGGTCAGGGAATTATCTCTCCCACTCTCTCTCTCTATACTTCATTCTAGATTTTTGTTTGCTTCTTTTGAACATTTATTAATTGTAATAACTCTATTATTATCTCTATAAACAGCAATCACCTTTACTATTTTTCATTAAATAATATATTTTTTAATAAATAAAAAAAGGTACAATACTATTAAAGCTTTGTGACACAGAGATAAGTCCAATAATACAGTGGATATGATGAATGAATTTGTACATGAAACAGTCACGAGAGACTTTATAACTTAGATCTAAAAGAATAATTATAAGTTGCTTTGTTACATACTTTTTATCAGCCAAACAATACATAAAACAAAGAAACTGAATACACTGCAACAACAGCATAAGCATAAATATTCTGTGCAAATAATGAATGATAAAAAGCCAAATTTTTTTCCTTTAACAGTATACCTACAAATTGTTCTTGAATTCATCTCAATACAAAACAATACTACTAATTCATTTTTTAACTATGATTAGTTTTTCATATTAAAATTCTACTATTATAGTTACTGTACTACAATTACAAAATTTAAACAAAATTACAGTGTTAATGTGATTTTGTCTAATTTATTATAATTTTTAAGATTAATTTAATTTAATTTTGTTTGTATTACAAAGGTCCACATAAAATTGCACTTTAAATAGTGATACTGTGATTTTTTTTCTTCAAATTTTCAGTAATTCTTAAATATACTTATTTAATTTTACTATTAATTTTAATAAACTGATTTAATGGTTATATATAATAATTTAGACAGAGACTTAATTTAGTATTGGAGTTGCATAAATTAAGTAAATTTAAATAATATATTTAATTAGATCAAATAATAGTAATTATAATAAGATCAAATAGAATAAAATTATTTACAATTTCTCATGAATTAAACCCAAATAGTAATTTGAAGTTTCATGATCTCAAAAATGCTATAACTAGCAACATTACAATTTATAAGGTTTTTTTCATCCAATTTTCAAGCCATAAATCGTTGATGAACAAGAATGGCGAAAATGGAGATAGCTCAGGAGGGATAGACAAGAAAAGAGAGAATGAGTTGGGTGGTAAAAAGGAAAATCAGCGAAAAAACTTTATATCAAAAAATTTTGATATAAAGTCTTCCACAAAAGCAAAAACGAAGAAAACAGACTCACACTGAGGTCTTACAAGGTCAAGAAAAGGTCTTACAAGGTCAAGAAGACACACAACTAGAGTAAAATAAAAAAAAAAGAAAAATCGAAGAAAAAAAAAAAGAGAAAGGTGAATAAAAGCTCAGATAGGATAGCACCCTTGATTAGAATGAACCTGCTGCAATTTCTGGTGTTGGTGTTGGTGAAGAAATGTCAGCTACAATTTCAGAGCCACCAATGGCTTCTTCTATTTTGTCAAAGAATCTCAAAGGGTTGACCATGGTTATGATGATGATGAAGTTGCTTATAGTCATCACATGCATGTGATGGTACTCCTTATTGGGACCTGTATCATATGAATCATGCTCTTAATTTGTGATTGTGCAGAGAATGAACAAGAATGACAGTAGCAGTAGCCAGCTTTAGATTAAACCAATTAAAAAAAAAAAACTATATAAAAATATATATAGCTAGTTTTATACTAGTATATATTATAATATAAAGTAAAATTTTCGGTTGATCTGAGTCAAATATAGAAATAACTAACACTTCTTAAGAATATGAAAAAGGTTCAAGATATCTGTTTGAGGTAAGACTATGATAAAAGTGAAATGATTATGGAGATTTTTTCTACATTCAACAATACTATTTGTTACCTTTGAGAAACTTGTCTTTTGGTTTCATCTTTGAGACCTTTATTTTTCTCTCTTCTCTATTCTATTTCAAGAGACTAAGAAAGAGAGAGAGAGAGACTTTGTTATGGTAAGATGGGAGAGAAGGGAGGAAATGGAGATGTTTATAGGGAGGAAAGAAATGGAAAGATGAGTGCATGAAGAGGCTAGTGGGCTTTTCCAATGGACTTGATGGGGATAGGTCCAAGGCCCAGAAATATCTAAATGGACCTGGTGATGTCATCAGGGCCCAATGTGAATGAATACTATCAATAATTGTTCGATTAAGATTCAACAGTTTTCCATAGAAATCAGGACCACATAATATACCTCAAGATTATAATATCTCACAAAATTCTCTTTAAAAGCATTTTAATATTGCTGCGTATGTTTGAATTCAAGAGATCTTTTACTATTTCATTTAAATGTATAAAAAATTAAAATTTGTATTTTATTAACTTATCAAATCTTGATCGAATGATGATTGATGTATAGCAGGCGTGCTCAAGATTTTAAAAAACGGTTTGTTGTCGCAAAAACGGTATCGAAAGATGTCGATATTGATACTATTATTCATTGTTTTTGTGATAAAGAATAAATTGTAGTTAATTCATACTACTACAAATCCCGTCAGCATCGCAACACCTGTACTGTACTGATAGAAACCTTGGGCTTGCTCTCTTCTCCATTTGCAGTGATTCAATTTCATACAATAAATAGTAGCAGCATAAAGTTTGATATAGTTATTGCAAACTTATTAAGAGTGTGTGGTTGTGTTTGTTACAGGGTATGTCCGTACAAAAGGGTATTGAGTCTTTGTGTAGGCCTGCCGCATCTGCATCTGCATGTGGCTCCCAAGAAGCATTGTTGCTCGTGTGCTTTCCCAGAACTTCCAAGTTTCTGCCTTCAATTTAAGATCTAGCACAGAAGATTTACTACTTCTATACAATCTTTGAATCACTTTTCCCTTTGGACTCACTTCAATGTGAAAATCATTATATTTGACATTGTTTTGCTACACCATCCACTTTTTATATTTTTAAAATGGATTACATCACTGTTTAGCAAAATCTTGTGTGCAAAGTTATGTTATAATTCAACACTAATTTTTCAACTAACTAAGCACAAAGATCAAGTTTGTAATGATACTAATAATAACCAAAAGAACAAAGTGTGGTTGGTTTGAATTGAACATGACCCATGTGGATAGCATTGAATTTTGTCGACTACATAAGTTGGGTAAAATGTAATATTCCTTTAGATAAAGACATTTTAATTTTAATTCACAAATTTGACTAATTCATAGAACAATTTCTAACAACTCACTCAACATGAACAAAAGGATACTAATATAGTGGATCTAAACTGCATTTAAATCTTAATATTATTTTAATATTTTTTATTATTAATTTTAAATATTGATTTGAGTTGTTGTGTGTTTTATTTAATTAAATATGAATTATTTAATTATTGAGTAGTTAAGTGTTATAAAAATTTATTTAATTTTGATTAATTAAAATAATAAAATAAAATAAAAATTAGATGTATTTTAGATTGTTAATGTATAAAATATAAGACACTAACTCGTTTCATATATACAATAGTATTTGACATATGTTTATTATTAAAAATATTTTAATTGAATTTAATAATTTTTATTTTTCATAAATCAACATATTTTAACACATATTTAAACCTCATAAATATATTTTGAAATTTATCTAAAGAGTGTCTAAAGTTTGTCGAAAGAGAGAAAAAAAATATTATTTTATAATATTTGTCTATAATTTATTGCGTATAAGTATCATATATGTATTAGAAAATTTAGACGACATTATATGAATTTTCCTGTGCATATTATATGGATATCATATCAATGAAAGATTTAACGACATACATAATTTTAGAAATTTTCAAATTTAACAAATAACGAAAGGTCAATTAAAACTATCACTTTGTATTGACGGATTCACCATATATATTCTTGATTTTTAAAAGATTTGAAATTGAAATATAGAGAGTAACACACTCTTGAATCTTAAACTTTACTCATGATTCCTCAAATTTGTTATAAGATTTTATTATTATGCTGTAGTTTTTGTTGGATGACACTAGTTGACATGGGAACTAGCTTAGAACACAAGTTACATAACCAATGAGTTTAATTAACCCTTTAAAAGAGGGAACAAAAGAACGTGAATTTGCGCAAAATGATGGGAGAAGGGAACAAGGAATCTTTGGTAACCGAAAGAAAATATCCTAAACAATAGATGATACTTGTAAAAACTCGTGGAAATTAAAGTAGGTTAATTTGTTTAAATATGATATACTTATGGAAAATTTTACTACAAAGTATCACAGTCTTCAATGTTATATGGTCAAACAAATTACAAAGTTCACACCCTCCCCAATTCCTTGGCTTGCTAACTCCATAATTAAATATATAGTAGTATGAGTTTGAATTTGTGTACCTTTTTTCTCACTCTCATAGACTGTTCATAGTACCTAACAAATATGTGGCTTAATTGGTTCTTAGAATTTAGGTATGTCAAGCTTGTGACTTTATTACCTATGTGTTTTTCACTTTATTATAATGGAATAAAAATCAAAGACTCAATTAAAATGTATATGAAGTGAAGTAGTCCTATATTGGTGTTGGTGTTAGTGTGGCAGCAGTAAATAAATTAATATTGAACAGTAATTTGTAGGTGCACAGTTATGGATTGAAGAAAAGTCTTTGTAGCCCATATTTAAGTCCAAGTGTCCCCACCCACACAGCTTCCCTTATGCTGGCCTTATAAGCCTCTGCAAGGGTTCAGTTCCTTTTTCCTGTTCTACCACATTCACCATGTAATCAAACTCCACTTCTGATCAATGCTACCCTTTTATTCCATTCCGTGACCATACAACATATATCCCACCAAGCATTTCATTTCATTAATAATATATACACACACAAGGAATCATGTTACGTTTTAAAAATAGATTAATTTAATTAAAGGTTAAAAGGCCAATGCAATCAGACATATCAATAAGGATGATAATTGGCATTCTATTTGGCCACTTTATTAAAACGGTACTTGTTAAAAAAATATAGTGGTGGACAGAGACTTTGGAGTTTGAGATGGTTTAGAGTAAATCTATGGTAATGAGAAATTTTGTTTTAGGGTGTTTTCTTTGAGTTTAGAGAAAATACACTATGAGATTTAGGGATATTTCGTGGTGAGTATAGAATATATTCCTCCTCAATTTTAATAAAGGTGGAGTATTTATAGAGGTCTATGAATTGATTTTGGAAAATCTTAGAAAGTAATAACTTTTTCACTTGGATTAGGAAGTCTATTGACGGTCTAATTCTTCAGAATCGTGGTCATGACTTCTTTAGCATAATATCGTAATCGACGACGTACACGTCACCGTCCATGTTTTTCATTAGGGTGAATTGTATATTAAATGGAGTCCATGATTATGCGTCATATTTTAGGATGGACGTCTGATAGGGGGCGACTCCATTACACAGTCCTTCAAGCACGAGGAATTGTAAAGGACAAAGTGATTAAGCTCTTCCTCCACATAGTCTCAAACCATTTATTTCTTTTAGGTCAATCTCGTAGTTAAGGGTGAGTCTCTCAATTAGGGGAGTTCTTCAGTTAGGGTGAGTCCCTTAGTTAAGGGCGAATCTCCCACTAAGGGGTGAGTCATCATGCCTCTGTCAGGTGTCTTTCTATAACACATGTGTTAACAGAGAAATATCAAACATTAGTCAAGTTTTTTAGAGGCGTCAAAATACCATTCACGTATGAAAACTTAACCATTTAGTGGGAAAGAAGCATGTGTGGCATTTTGTGTCTCTCATGATGATTTTCTTAGGGAAACCCATTTTAGTTTCTTTCATATATGTGTCATTGAAGTGTGAAACATGTCATGTGAAACATGTCACACCGCGAAAAAAACACAGAGTCGTCATTAAATTTTATTTATCCTAAAGGGGAGGGGAAACATCTAGAAAACCCCAAAAGAAAAGATAAGATGATCAACGCAACCAAGAGAAGGATATGAAAGTTGGTTATGCAAAGGGAAGATATTAGTATCTCTCACATTTGTTATACTCAACGGGACCCAATTCGGTTGTTTGTTTCTAAGTGTGTGTATATCTAAAGTTATAACTTACTGAGAATGCACAAATGATTTATTTTGAAAAAAAGAAAAGACATTATTATTGAGTTCGCTCAGGTTTTGCACCCTAGTGCCTGCGTATTCCCATAGTGCAATGAAGAAATTAGAACTCCATTGCTATTTTTAAAAATGTTGGTTTGTTTGGTGTTCTTTAGTGGATAATATTAGGGTACACATTCTAGTATTAGGTGTTGCTTCTCGTTGTGTGGAGACTCATGTGTTACATGTATTGCGGTAGAACGGAAATAAGATGTCATTTTGAAAAGGTTTTAACGAGAAAAGTTTAGGAGGCAAAAAAGTTTGGATTTGTTGGAGTGTTTTGTTGGAAGATGGTAGTAAATGAATCCCAATACAGGGGCACGTAGCTACTCCTCCACCTTTAATTTCGAAAAGAGTTTGTGAATTGAATCACATTAAAATCCATGAATGGAAGAAGAGTAAGGTTAGAAATACATCGCCTCGCTCTTCTCTATAAGACTCAATGGCATACGATTCACATCTCATTTATTAAGTATTTTGAATTTGATTAAGAAAATGTTTTTGTTTTTATAAAGAAAGGAGAATGCAATGCAAGAGGAAAAACAAAGGGGATCTACCATAATATTATCATGCATCATGGACTTAAAGTTGAGTTTAAGATAATTTTTAGCCTAATTTGTTATCATGCTTGGATTAAATTTTAAGGTCATATTAATTTAATTTTAATCAAAAGATTAAAATTAAATTTATAAATCCTAAGGAAACATGTGAGCTCACACGCAAGCAAAAAATATCAAACATCAAGAGTAATCATTAAGAAGCATCCAGAATCAATCACAAAATTTCATCAATAAGAAG